GAATCATAACTACAATTACCTGCTTTCTCTCTGTAATTTACTTAGCCAGTATTTTTTTATTTTAATGAGTCTTTGTTTAGAATAGTTATACAGTCTAACATGTCTTTCAGTATTTGCCTAAGCTTTGCTTTTCATGTAAAAGCAGTTTACAACTGCTTTCCCTTAAACTGTACTGAAAGCAAGCTGTTGAGCTTTTTTGTTTGGTATTGCAGATGGTGGCATTGCCCAGATGTAGGCAAGAGCCTGCATTTAGCTTGTGGGACAGGAAGTCTCTACAAAATTCTGAATATAAAGAATGTTGGTGGTTTTGCTAACTCTCCTGCAGACTTATTTCAAGCTGAGGATACATTCTACTTCTGAGAACGATTTAGTACCTTTGTGGCACTATCAAATCTATCTTTCTGATTAGTCTGCTGGAGAGTAGTGTATTCCTTGGAGAATATGGTCTCAATTCTATAAGTAAAAGTAGTAACTGACAGTTTTTACAGTTTGATGATCAAATTGTACTTAAAAATAATAAAATAAACCCTTGGCATCTTTTCACTTATAGAATCTGAAGAACTAAAAGTTGTGTCTCTTTTTAAATACAGCCTGTTATTTTAAAAGGAACATGTATTGTTGATAGAGATAGCAAGAATAACATTATACTAACCACAGGAGTAATTGAGGCGTATAGGCATTTCACAGAAAAAAAAGAGAAAAATAGTTTCAGCAGATGCATGCAAGAGACATCAGCATAGAAGAAGCTGATAAGGGAATAGAGTTTCCTCATATCTTTTAGGCTATGAAAGGTTGTCTTTGTAGTCAGGTTTGCTGTAGATGTCTCTTCTGGGACTTTAGTTTCTCTAGAAAATGTTCCATGGTTTCATGAACTGCTTGTTAGTTGTTGCAGCTCAATGGATCTTCTTGTATTGAATTACAAAAAGCAGTAACTGAAAAGGTTGAGTATTAGTGGTACTGTTTTAGGGCAAAAGTTGAAATTTCTGTTGTACAGGAAAAAAATTTAAATTTTCCTTTTATTTTGAACTGAAATAAAAGGTTGAGTCCCTTGAAACAAAATTTCTTCAAAATTGTCTCCTGAACTAGTAAAATATGTCATTGTGATCAGGGCTAATAAGCACTATACTTTCACTGCATAGTTTTAATAATGCAAGATATAAAACAAAGTGCATTAATCTTATCTAAATGAAGTGCTTCAGTATTTTTTCTTCAAAACCTCTTGATATCACTGAATCAGTTTCCTCTTGTTGAAAAATATTCTGTTAGACAATTTTCAACCACTGTAATAAACAACATTCCAAATTGCAAGATCAAATTCTTAACATTTTGCTTTTTATACGAACTTTCGTGAGTCCTTGAAAATAAAGGCTCTCTTCCTTGTACCTTCTTGTCTTGGTTAATCCTTGGGGTTTTTAAATATAAGTTGACTTAATGTAGGTTATGTTTGTTCAGTTGTTGGTGCACCCTTAGCGTGGATCTTTAGAACACTAATTTAGAAACGGGAGTTCATAATTGTTGCTGCAGACAATATATGAGTAAAACCCCCTTACCTTCTTAACGAACAGTGGTTACCTATCTTTAATTTATTTTATTTATTAATTTACTATTTAAAATAAATTAGAATCTTTAGGATATTTAACAACATAATGCATGTTTTATAACAGACCTGACATCACAATAAAAGGGAAGGGAAGAAACTGAGTTAAAGCAGGAAATTTCAAGTCAAGATTGAAATCTTAGATATTAAAGACGTGGCAGCCTTATTTGCGTGTTTTCTGGATTTGTTTTACTGTGATGAATGTTTCTAAAGAAAAAGAGACCTACTGTAAAAGATTTGTAATTTTCCAGGGAATGATTTTATTTCATCTGGAATCATTAAGGTTTCACAAGTAAATAGAATGATAGAGTGGTTTAAAGAAATGCATGCCTGAGAGACTGCATCAGCTTTTAGACTCTAAAGGAAATACATTTTTATGCAGTTTAAAAACAAGTGTCTACAGATTACGTTGAAGTAGTTTCCTGTGAGTCATTCAAGTTTTCATTTATGGTTCTGAAATGGGAAATGTTACTTAAAAAAAATGTCCAGCAATAAAACCTGAAGAATGCCCCAAAATCTCAATCCTGCCAACATTTAGGTCCAGGATCTGTTTCCACCTACTAGGAACATAACTGAAATTCTGTTCCACCCTATTCAAGTCTATTAATGCATCTAATTTTGTAACACACCATCATGCAGCCGGGGGTGGGGAGTTATTTGGGCTAGAGGGCCACTTAAGGAGTTTTGGTGAGCTGTTGAGGACCTGCGGGGAGATGCCAGTTAATCCTATCTGGCTCGCCAGCTGCTGCTGGGAGCCTGAAGAGGGAGGGCTGCTCCCCGTGTTGTTCCACTCTGTCCTAGCCAGGGCTGGCTGAGATGTGCAGTGCACAGACTCCTCCCCCCGGCCAGCTTCTTGTCCTGGATTTGGAGCCACCAACATCCAGGCCCACATGGGATGGGGTGTGATGCAGCATGCCAAGTAGCTGTCCTTCCCGCCCACTGCCACAAGCCACTGCCGCCAAACCACACTGGGGAAGTCAGGGGAGGCTGCCCCAGGCCAAGCCCCACCACATCAGGCACAGATTCACTTCCAACAGCGCCATGGCAGCAGTAGCTAGACATGGTGGGTAGGCAGGGCAGCTACTCATCTCCACATCACTTCTTGTCTTGCGTGGGCCCAGCAACCACAGTGCTAGGACTGCAGAGCACCAACAGGAGGCCAGGCAGGGGAGAAATAGATCCAGGGTTGGAGGGTGCAGGGGAGTCTGCTTGGCTTGGCCCTAGATGCGGCAGAACAGAGCGGTGTGGGGCACAGCCTTCCCTCCTCAAGCTCCTGGTGGCAGCTGGCGGGCTGGATAGTCTCAGTTGGTAGGCCAGATACAGCCCATGGGCCATATTTTGCCCACCCCTGATCTGACCCTTAGGATTGTGTCCCAAAAAGAAGCAAGGAAGAAGCATCCATGTTTAATATTAACAGTTTTTCGGGGGCTTGAACAGGATAGAATCAAATTGCACTTAGACCCCAAGTCCAACAGGTACCAAATAGGTGGAATATAATTTAGTCCTTAGTGTATACTTAACTTTAAACACGTTGATTTCAATGGGACTGCCAGCGTTTAAAGCTGAGTATGGATGTAAATGTATTGAGAGTTATTGCTACAATGAAATGATATTTTCCCAAGAAAGGTATTTTAACGTTTCTCTTAAAGAAGTCTTTGATGTGTAGACCTCTGCAATTAGAGGTTTCCTTTGCTCTAAAACCATGGTACACTGAGCAGATAATTTCAATAGCCACTACTGTTAATAGTGAGTCAGGATGTTGGATCATGTGGGTTGAGAGTAAGAAAATAGTTTTAATTAGTATGGAATGTCTTAAATGTTATTCTATTCCCTGAAGTAAAAAAAAAAAAAAATCATACCTTCTGACAGAACCACCAATTTTATGGGGGGAATTTACTTTGTCATCAGTTGAATCAGTGCACTACCACTTATGAAGAAGTTTCATCACCAGAAAAATACATGCTGGAATGTTTCTTAGCAGGAGGCAGACTGTTAAAGGGTTTACCACTTTCTGACAGTAAACAAAACATTGTTTAATTCACAAGTTTTTCCATGCCTTGTTGATTTGGTCATATGAAAACTGCATCCAAGTTGAGATGTTTGTCTTCATGTAATGTAGATCTTCTCTAAGGAAATGGAGAATTCATAAATATCCAGTGCTATTATCATTTAGTAACCAGAAGTCATAATGCACAAGTATGGCAATGGTCCAGTTTAAAATAAATAGTATGCAGGAGACCTTGAAATGTCCATACTTGTCCACCCTCCTTTCCTTCCTCCCAAGTTTCAGGTTCAGCTGAGGGTTTTCAGTAGATACCTTTCTAGACAATGAAATCCAAGTCTCCCAAAATCCATATTCAAGATGTCCATAATAGTGAATGAAGCATGGAAGCTCTTAAGTTAGTGGAAAGAAGACTATAATCTTCAACTCTACATACCTGCTGAGGTATACATTTGAAATTGAATGTGACAGGAACAGTTTTATAGACAATATTTTTTAAGATTGTTATGAATCCTTGACCTCACTTGTAGTTAAGCTGAGTTCTCTACTACTCCTCCCACAGCTTCCTTTAGTTGTATAAGATTCAGATCTTCATTCTTGCCTTCAAAGCTAAGCATGATCCTGCTACCTTTATCTCTCCTCTCATTTCTTTGAACTACTTTTCACCATGTCTGTTGTCTTGCTGCTAACTCTGTACCTTTTCCTAGACTGGTTTTTCACTATCCATCATGTAGCCCTACCTAGTGTTTATTATATCACACCCTACTCTATCCCTTTTTAAAAAAATACTCTTTTGTATTATGTGCTGTCTTTTCTCTTGCCTTCACAAAGTATAGTCTAAGATAAGGACATTGCCCTTCTTGAGACTTTGTGTAAATGTATTTATTATGTGTAATCATTGTGTAATCAAGTTTTTATGTAAGGGCTCAAAATATGTGGAAACATACATGCTCCAAGTTGAGGAGAGCATACAAGCTAAGAAAGGAAGTGCTAATATTTTGTTGAATGTTTATTGCAAAAATGTTTTCTTTGTGTAAACTTATCATGTATACTGTGCCAACTAGAACAATAGTACTTGTCAAAGAGATACCAAAATTTTATTGATTGGAAACAATTACCTTTTAAATGGCAAATTACTTCAGAGATAAAATTCTGCTGTAATATATGTGTGTGTGTCTGTATATATATGTGTGTATATGTATATATGTGGTAATTTTGGACTATATGTAGTCCAAAATTACCATCCCAGATAGTAGGTATTTATTATTTCTAGGCTAGTTCAAGATTATAAAAATATATTTTTTTAATTTACATAGCACTGAGTTGTAACTTTAAACTATTCTTATTTGTGGGCCAATTTTAGAAAGTGAATACAAATGATACCTCTGATTTTTCTTGCAGGCTTTGCTGTCAAAAGATGCCTCATTTCTATATAATACACAGCTACCTTGCATGGCACCAGCCTCTACCTGGAGCAGTTATGAGCAGAGTATGAAATCCAGAATACTAAAACATATGCCAGAACTGGACTCTTCTTTCCATCCTGTGTTATCATTCCCCTCAGGTGAGAGATGTCTAATTTCTTATTTCTAGCAGCTCATTATTGCATTTTAAAAATTACTACATTTGTCATGTCTAGCTTTTAAAACATTTTAAAGCTTTGTCAATGAAATAACTTCTTCCAAGAAATTTCTTGCTTATGTTTTGGCAAAGACACGCTGACAGATATACTCAGCCTAATTTAAAGGGACATTCATTTAAAAAAATTCATCCTGCTCTTTAAAGTCTTACTTTCTGTAGTTAAAAGTAGCAATTAAGAGGACTATAATCAAGGGATGAGAGGAGGCTATTTCACTTTTCAGTCCATTTGCTGTGTGCATTTGACAGCATTTTGTCTTGCATAATTAGTCAAGCCTCCTTGTTTAATTTAGTTTTTTATGCAGTAACATGCATACAGTTTTAAAAACTCATTAAAACATGATTTGTAAAGCGAAATCGTAATACTTGAAACTAACTTCAACTAGGTATTAATAGATGGTACTCTGTTAAAATAGATTTGAAATACTGGTAAATCAACATTAAGGGCATAGACAAGCAGCTTTTGAAACATTTAAAAGTTAAATAGGCTTGGAAACATTTAAAAAAAGAATCATGTTGGTTGAGGGACATGTGGAGCCCCTGTAGTGCTCCCTGGCTGGAACATTTTAAAATTGTTCTCCAGAGCAAAAAGAGCTCTCTAGGCAGGGGTCCCTACAGAGGATGGAGGATGTCTCTGGAGGAGTAAGGGGGACTTGCTGGCTCCCCCACCACCAGGTTCCCAATTCCCAAGTCCCAGTTCTCTCTAACTCTTCACTCCTCCTCTCACCAGAGTGGAGAAATAGAGGGGACTGAGCCTAGAGAGCCTGGCACCAGCAGTGGGCCCTTGAGTGCTGTCGCATCAGGGACCAAGGTATGGAAATAGGACCAAGCTGTCCGTTAGCCTACCGGACTGTCCACCCTGCTCTTCCTTCTTTCTCCAGGGATGGGGAGCATGGAGCACTGTGGGATTCTGGATGACATTTTGGTCCTCAGCCCCCATGTACACATAACAGGAATTGAAATGCTTTAGAATAGACATTTGGAAAGGTACTATTTTGAATCACTTCAGCTGCTTTATGAACATTACAAAAGGCATGCATGTTTAAACGGCGGGCCCCTTGAAACATTTCATAGGCGTTTGAAAGATTTCAGTTGTTACTTGTGTCCACACCCTAAGGTTGGTGGTTTAAAAAAGTTAGGAAAAATAAGACATGGTATGCTCAGACGGTGACTTTATCTGGGTTGTATTGGATGGAATTCATGTGTGTATGTGTGTGTTATATGTGTCTCTGTGTGTGCATATATATGCACATTCACACATATACTGCAGTGCAACCAAGATATGTATATATTTGTGTACACAGAGAGACTGGGCTGAAGCAGCTTCTTTCACTTCCCTCTGTCCCTGGGGTTGATGTTCATACCTGGTACTGAATTTTGTCAGAGATTTCTGCCCTACAGAAACCTGCTACCAGGTGGTAACTGACCCATGTAGTAATCCCATCAATATTGAGGGCTTTCTCAGGATAGGATAAGCCTGAAATTAAGGCTGTTTTAGTGGTTGCAGCTCCTTAAAACTGTCTTGGATTCATTAACCAAACCCACTTTTTGCCAGAGGTGTTAGTCTTATTCTCTTTTAAGATTTCTCAGCATTTTAATTCTCCTTACAGTTATCCTGAGGTTCAGAAAGACTCTTAAAGAGAAGGTGATAACAACTTAAAATGTTTTGAAATTCTCTGTTGAAATCCTCCTGCTAGCCCTTACTGTGCTCCTGATCTCTAGAGTTGTTGCTTCTAATTCTACACCACCTGCCTGAAGGAGCAGCAATAAGAATGTCCAAACAAACAAAAATCTAACATAAAATAATTATTTTAAAGTAGAAAAAGAAAAGGGAAAAAATCAACTCTGAAAGAAGTTATAAAAGAAGTTATTTAATGGAATAGAGGGCAAGACTTTTATTGAAAGTATCTCTTCATACTGAAAACGAGGAAGATAGCTTTTGTCTGTGTTCTTCCTGGCTTCTTGTATCCCTGCTTTTGCTTCTAAAGGTAAAATAAGGTCTCCTTAGGTCTCTTACAAGTAATAAGTATCTTGCAGTCAGACAAGTTCACTGAAATACTGTTGCTTTTGGACAGGTCAGTCACCACCAATACAAAGCCTTGCCCTATAGATTTTCCATAGAACCAGAGATATTTGCCAAGCATGTCAATGGTTGCAGCAAACCTCAGGCCTAATAACATTTCTCTGTCTAGGAATCTGGCCAGTTCAGGCATGTATGTAAGAAGCCTTGGAGGAGACTCTAAAACAGATGTGTGCTGTTCCTCTTTTAGCCAGTGGATAATCTGGAAAAAAAAAAAATTCCAACCCTTTTAATTAAAGGATGGGGGATTATAATAAAGACTCTGAAATATGCAGCTGATTCTCCCTTTCCCTACTCCCAAAAGACCAGAGAAGATAATTGTGATATTTCCTAGGTAAAAAGTAAATAGGAGAATAAAATGATTAGCTCTTTACATTTCATAAGGTATGAGGGTGTTTCAGAAAATTATGACAGCTTTAAAATAAAAGCATTTTGTATGCAGTGATCATTTACTGGACCACATCACTACTCTATATAGTTGTAAATGATGGGTATGTTCAACAATGCCACTGTCAGTGTAGGTTCCTACTTATTGCACACATTGATTTTATTTAGAAATTGCCATTACTTTCTGAAACACCCTTGTAGAAAAAAAGAGCAAGCTTTAAAAAATCTCTTGCAGGTCTCCTTTAATTCTGTGACAAAGAACAAGTTGGATTAGTTCCAGTCACTGAAATAAGTTCTTACTAGTTAATAAAAATTGGGGCTAGGAAGATTTTTGTACTGGGAGATCCTCAGCGCACATGAGACTAAGGTAACTTATAAAGGCTGGACAATCATCACCCATCATTTTGGCTCTTTAATTTAGTCTTTTCTTTAATTTAGCAGCTGCCCATATTACTTTTGTTGATAATTTATCTGTCTTTACACCAAGCATGAAGACTTTATTTTTTGTTTGTTTGTTCTTATTACTGTAATTTTGTTTCTTGAAAGGCTTCTCACACAGACCTCTTTTCTAAGCCTTTTTACCCTTACAACAACATCTAAATTCCTTGGCACGTGAGATTTGTTTTGCAGACTAACCCTTCCTTGGGTGGAACTCAGTAGTGGAACAAAGTGGGGCTGACTGGGGCATCAGCTCTGGGTGCCAGTCCTCAGGGAGGTGGGGGGCGCAAAAATAACAGCAGCTGTGGTGCTGGCCTAGGTGCTACCCCCTGCCACTGGCAGTGGAGGCAGTGACACTCCTGTGCACAGCTGCTACCCAAGGAACTCTTGTGCCCAGTCCCACCTCTGGGAGAATTCAAACAGAAGGCATGTTCAATTTCCTTGTTGCCGCCTTTGTTGGGTCACCTAAGTCATTGTAGCCCTGTGGGAATAGGGCTGGGCCCATTGCCCCTGCCCTACCCATGCATCTGGATAGGTCTGGGCTGCTTCCCCCCTCACCCCCGCACATCCAGATTGGGGCTGTTCCACCCCAACTCCCTGACCCACTCCTGGGCAGACGGATTAGGGTTAGGCTGTGCACCCCCCCGCTTTCATTGTTTCTTACCTGTTTGTTCTCAAGGTTTCTTTTTGAAGATATCTGTCCCCTACAGATGTCCTCCTCTGTGAGTATCTGATGACACTGGAGTGCTATACACAGGCAGTCACTTATGCCAGAGCTTGTTCTGTACTACCACCCCTTTTTGGGAGTAAGTGGACTAAAGGCAGCAATATTACTTATATTGAATATTATGCAGATTGTCATAGTTAGCGTTTTAGACAAATCATGCCACTGTCTTAAGTTCTGAGCCCATTGCTGGTTTTCTGACTTGGATGCATATGTGCCTCTTTGTTTGATTTTTCAGATATCCCTCTTCATATGTATTTTGAAACATTGTTAAAAAAGGACGAGATCAGAGCAGATCCAGTAGACACTTCAGCATTAGGGGTGGAATTTCAAACATCTCCTTCTAGTGGTATGTGATTCAAAATAGTTTAATGATTTTAGAGCTTGCTTTTTAGCTTTTTTTGGTCAGTACTTCCTTTCCAAAATAGTTTACAATCTAAACTGATCAGAAAGGAAGATAACAGGCAAAGAAGTTAGGAGGTGGGAGATAATGAGGAATATAGGAAGAAAAATTATCCCACCCACATCAACACGATTAGTTATGCTCTGGGTGAATGTCGTTTGAGAGGAATAGGAAAGTGAAATCCTCTACCCTCCAGCCTTTGTTAGGGTTTGAGTCTTAGACTTGATCAGGAGCGAGATATTTAGTTGTAAGCACCTTCGTACTGGTATAACGATGTTTACACTTCAGCTATATCAACTATTAAACTAGTACATTTACAGTGGTAAAAAAGAGCCGTCTTGAACCTTTGTACTGCTTGGGAGATATAAGGAAACTGCAAATGACAGGAAAGAAACCAAGAAAGGACAGTTTTTAGACATAAATGAATTCAGTGGAATTAGTTTAAATATCTTGCTGAATTAAGAACCTAACTGACTGTGGTTGTCATTCCATACTTTTAAAGATGCGTGTGTCTGACCTTCTACATGATTATTTGGATTGATAGTTGATTCAGTTGCTTATTTTTCTTTGCTGTTTAGATTGTCTTTTAGTTGTTTTTTCTTCTTAATTCTCTTTTCAAGATAGATGAAGATAGTGTATTTATTGAAGAGCATACGTACATATATGTATGTGTATATATGTAAAGTGTATATCTTACACGTGTGCATAAATAATATTTATTACATATAAGTTATAGAAATTAGCAGCAGCACCCAAAATATAGTAGTTTCACATGAGTTCTAGGGGACTGTAAAATATTATATTTTTCAGGAAATTGGCCTTGCATAAGGTACCTTCTCTACATGGTACCATGCATTTTGCCTTTTCCACTTTTTTCTTTAACTGCTTTTTGTCACATGTGTGATATAAAATCTTTTCTTGCACCTCTAACTGCTTTAAAAGACCTTTTTTATTTAACCAATGTGAATTAACCCATGCAGAAATACGAATAGATTCTTAGATATTTTGCTTTTGATACAATCTTTTACAACATTCTCATGAAAAAACTAAAGAAATTCAGACTGGTAGATGAAAGTACTCAAAGGTGGATACACAACTGGTTGGATCATCATGCTCATTGATCACCAATGACTCAATGTCTGTTTGGGAAGTGGTATCGAGACAGGTTCCCCAGGGGGTTGTCAAGGGTCAGGTATTAACATCTTCATTAATGATGGGATTGAGTGCACACTTAGCAGATTTGTGGATGACACCAAATTGAGTGGACTTGCAAGCACTCTGGAAAGTAGAGTTAGTATCTAGAATGATCTGTATAAACTGGAGAAATAGTCGGTATTCAGCAGGGATCCGGGTTTTCCATTTCCCGTGGGAAACCAGAGGAAAACACAGATTTCTTATTTTAATGGAGAAACCCACAGATTTTGCAGTTTTGCAAAGAGTTCTCTGCTGGCTGGCAGATTTCCAGCCTGCAAGGGGCTGGAAGGGAGTGGGTAGAGGGTTCTCAGGCCTGGAGAGCAGCTCCAGTAGGTAATTGGGGGTGGAGGGGGGGAGAGGGGGTATTGAGGCCCCCATAGGGAGGGAGTTGGGCAGGGCTGGGGCTGCTGCCCAGTTGGGCGGTGTGTGAGGCCCAGGGCTGTAATGCACGGCTGCAGGGCCTGGGTGTGGAGTGCCATGGGGCTATGAGTGGGTCAGGTGGGGGCAACTCCCCACCACTGCGCGCATTCCCAGGCGGGGGGGGGACTCATGCCCCCCAGATCGATGCATGGGGCAGGGGCAGGCACAGCCTGCCCACTGCGGGTTCGGGCTCCTGCCCTGCTGCCCTCTCCCAAGGCCTCCGCAGCCCAGTGGGTGTGACCCAGTGCTGGAGAGAACAGCAGGGCTGCGTGGGGATCTCCTTGCCACTGCAAGCTCTGTACTGCCCTGGTGATGAGTCCTCTGCCCACACAGCAGCAGTGAGGGACACAACCCTGTGCTGCCAGCCCTGTGGCTGCCATGCGGGCAGGGCAATGCAGAGCTCACAGTGGCAAGGAGTTCCCTTTGCGGTCTCACTGTTCCCCTGTAGTGCCGAGTCACACCCTCTGGGCTGCAGAGGCCTCGGGGAAGGAGAGCAGGGAGGGGGAAGGAGAGCAGGGAGGGAGCATGAGCCTGCAGTGGGCAGCCTGTCCCCACCCTATGCACAGATCTGAGGGGCACAGGTCCCCCTGCCCCCCCAGGAGTGCGAGCAGGGGGGTGGATCTGTGCTCCGTGCTGCTGCAGCAGCTGCCATGTCCTGCTGTAAGCAGAGGGCTGTGGACCTGAGTCCCTGGCTCCATAGGTCTGGCAGCTGGGGGCCCCTCCAGTGGGGCTAGGGGGGCCAGGGAGCTTTGGGTGGAGGGTGAGGGACACCAACAGGGCTGGGGGGAACCCTGGGGGGTGGGGAGTGAGAGACACAAGCAGGGCCAGGGGCTGTGGGGGGTGCAGTGTGAGGGTCACGAGCAGGGCCAGGGAGTTGTGGGGAGGAGAGTGAGGGCACCACCAGGGCTGGGGGGTTTGGGGAGGGGAGTGAGGGTCCTTTCCTTTTAATCATAGATTTTGGGGTTTTTTGCAATTTTTTTTATCAGTGAATTTTCAGGTTTTTTTGTCAGGGAAAACCAGGATCCCTGATAATCAGTTAGATGAAATTCAGCAAGAACATGTACAAATTCTTGCACTTGGGACAGAATCATTGCATATATAATTACAGACTGGGGAATAATTTGCTAGGATACCTTTACACAGAGAAGGACTTGAAGGTTACATGGACCATAACATGAATATGAGCCAACAGTGTGCTCTTGAGAAGTGTGCTCTATGAGAAGACTTTGGCCTGTCATTTGAGTTCTTTGTTTCTGTGTACATCAAAGATGATTACCACTTTGTTTCTGATTGCAAGCATCTTCAGCTCTTTCTTTCTTGTAAGTTGCATCTAATATTCAACTTTAAATATTCAGCTTTACAAATGTCTGTTCTGTTGTAGACTGTAATCAACGGAATGCTTCTCTGAGACAATGGAGCAGTGGATATTTACCAAATTCTAAACCTCAAGCAGTATTGGGAACATCTGACCAGGTGTCAGATGGAAGGAAAAAAAGGCATCTAAGTGAGACAGCAATAGGTAAGGCAAAACTAGGGATATATAAAACTGCTGTTCATTCTGAAAAAACCCACAGCTACTTTCTTTCTGAAAATGCGTTGTATAGCCTTTCACATAAATGAGTTTTTTTATCAGAAAAATAACCTTAAGAAACTATATTTTAGAGAGGCATGAGAAATGGGCTAATAAAAGAAATCAACACTCCGCCAACAGAATAATAAAATAAATGCAAACCATTTAAAACACAACTTTTTTGGCCCAACCTTAATTCTGTTTCAGAGTAGTAGCAAAACTAGTCATGCTTCTGTCTTTAGTATACTTCTTACAGGAATTGCTTAACATAGTTGTATTTTTGTGATTCTGCATGTCTAGATTATTATTACAGGAATTTTTTATCATATTCAGTGAAACACAACGAGTTAATAGATAACTTTATAAATCACTTAGCCAAACATCTACTATTTCTACAAGCTGGTCAGCTATGTTAATTTATTGTGGTTCCAGGTTCTGGTTTTCTTTTAAACCATTAAATACTGTATAATTATATGCAAGCCTCTTCATCAGGCTATTGGAAAGTCAGTGTTTAAAAAAAAAAAAAAAAAATTGCACATGTGTATCAGTGTTAGGATCATCATGGTACTTATAGACCAGTGAGTTATATATCAACACCAAGTCAGAGGAATTAGCAGTGTTCAGCCTGAACAAACAGCTGCAGAAGCTGTCCAGCCTGGGCCCTGTGAACATTCAGTGACACTTGTATCATTTTGATTCGGCTTTCTTGGCTATGTGCTAATTTGGCTGTTTGTATTAGCTCCCTCCTTTCTCTTGCTGTCACTTTAACTTCACATATACCTCATAATGCCCTTTTGTCCAGCCCTTGTGCCCCTTGTTCCTTTTGCTTCAGTGTCCCCTCTTTCTTCACTTTTTTTTCAGAGTAGTTTATACTCTTCTAACTATGCCCTCCTTATCCACTCCAAAGCTGGAACTAACACATTTGCTGAAATAATATTGCTCACTGTGCTTGCTTGTATCTTATACCCTTCCCTCTACTCTCTCTTGTGTATTTACACTGTAAGCTCTTTGGAAGGGGTCTGTGTATACAGGACCTAGGACAGTGAGGTTCCTTTCTTGGTTGACACATAGGCACTGACATAAGGGTGACTAAATAATTATAATGGGAAGTAATGAAAAGGTCAGATTTGCACAGGATACCCAGTTGTTTTGGGTAGTCAACTGAAAAAATGAGTTAGGAACTACTAAGGCTCAAGGTATTTGGTTGAGCAATGTAATGGCAGATGAAACTGGGTGTAGACAAGTATAATGTGTTGTACAAGCAGTGATTTGAACTATTCACAAATTACAGTGAACATAATTCCTATGCTTGTAGTAATAAATAATAAAGAAAGTGACATTTTCAAGTTTGTAATTTAGGTTCTGCTGACAATTTTTTGAGCATTTTAAAAATAATCTGTTCTCACCATCACAGTTTTCTTATGAGAGCATGCTGCTTTGCAACTCATTTGTGCATAGCAGAAGAAGCTCTGTCTTGTTGGTGCGAATGGCCCAGTACAGCATATTTATTCCTAATCTGGGCTCTGTCCAGGAAAAAATTATCCATGGGGTGGGTCAGCCTAGTGAGCAAGGCAAAAATAAAAGCTTGCTGTCAAGTTATTGTAATGCTACCTAGGAGACAGGATTTCATGCATTTGGCCCACTTTGTACATTAGTGTTCTTTTTAGAAGTTGTTTTTACCACCATCCCTTGCATGGAATTCCCCCTGCTTCATACTGACCATTCTTATGCTCAGTTAGTATTCTCATAATTTGTTTTAAGATGGGGCTCTATTCTCTTCCTTCAAGTCTGGATAGGAAGGAACTGGGGACCAACTGTGGCTTGTTTTTAAAATTCTAAAAATGGACTATACACCGGGAATGAATAAGACTACTCATGAATTTGCCTAGACTCCTGAGCCAACACTAGAAAAATCAGATTAACAGGTTAGGAAAGAAATTTTGTCTTCTAGTTCCAGTTGGCCACGAGCCAGGAAGAAGGTCTCGGGGGACGTGGAGGGGGGCATTGACGAACTTATTTGGGGCTGTAATGGCTACATTCCCTGTTCAGCATGAAATTCAAGAATATTGGTTACATATAAACTATGAGAGCTTCTGTAAAGGAAGCAGGATTTGGTTTTCTGAAGCTGCTTCCTCGGGGGGCCTCCTCATTTAAAATAGGGAGACAGTTTTTGGGGATAGCTTGCATGAAGGTGAATTTGGGATCGGGAACATCTGTAAATGGTTATGTTAATGGTGTTCATGAAACCTCAGGGTTTCAGCTCTGACCTTCTAGAAATATTTTATTCCATACCATGTGGAAAAATCTTTAATATAATAGATAACAATAGCTTTATTTTGTTTGTTTTGTTTTGTGGCAGGAGAAAGTAACAGTAGGTTTGAAGCATTTTCCTTTCAGCATACAGGACCAGAATCCCTTAACAGTTTTACTGCAGTGTCCAATGTCAATGTGCTATCTAGATCCACTCCATCACAGGTAAAGCAAAGATAAAATGGATTTCATTAAATCACCCACAGAGTGTTGATGGTACAAGCTTTATGCACGTTCCTTAGTTTTACACTGTAATGCAGTTTTACATGTTCATTGATTAAGCTTGTCTAATTCTTATTGGGAAAGTAATGTGCCTAAAACACAGAAATGTATTGTCGTAGAATAGCTTCTAGACCATGTAACTATACTGTATAATTAGTTTATAAATCATATTTGTGTAAAATTTCATTTAAAACCTCATTAAATGATTTGAAATTTATGCTCCCAGTGGAGCTGCGCCTAGAGGCTTCAACTACTCCTCTTTATTGCGCTTCGCAATATTGGCTGGCAGTGTAAATATGGTTGTGGTAGTTTACCCAGATGCATCTTGGTATGCCAAGATATGTCAGTTTGAAACTACGTGTTTACTGAACACCTGATAAAATCACTGGTAAACTTTGATTAAGGGTGGCATCCTGGCCTCATGGAAATGTATGCCAAAGCACTGGGTTTCAATGCTGTAGTCTGCATTTTTTTCAGTCCTGTAGTATATACAAGATATGTCACTAGTCCAAATTGCATAATCTATTTTAAGGATAAAAATATATATGGTGGTGGTGATGACGTTGCATTTCCTTCCTTAAATGATCCCTTTATGCAAGTGGTGAACTTCTTTCCTTTAAACATATTAAATGAGAACTGATTCATGCTAAAATGCACTCTACTTCTCAGGTGAAAATAAAAAGTTTGCAGTTTAGGCTAGCTCATGGTTTAAACTGAAACTCTCTACTGTAATTTAGAAAAGTTGTGATGCACTTAGAATCTACACACTTGAGAGGAGAGACTGAATAACTTAGAGAGAAGTGTTGAGAAATTCAGTATCCCCTCTACTTCCCAGAAAATGTCTCTGTCTTCTGCAGACTTTGAAAAGAATAGTTTTCTTGTGGGTTGTTCTACATTAGGTATATCAAACATGTGACTCACAGGATGGATGGGGCTGGGAATTTGGGGGCAGGGTAAACAGGGGTGAGGCCTGCTGTGGAAATCCAGGGCATGGAATCCTCCATGTGTGCTGGGGCAGCAGGAAAGTGAGTGGTGGCTCTGGTAACCGCCATGCCACTGTTCACCCACCCCACTGCCACCACTGAGTCTGGATGTGGCTCAGGAGGTTCTTTGCATTTGCATACAACCTGTGAGGAGCCCTGTGGTACAGATCCAGTACAGGGGCATAAGCTTGATACCCCCGTTCTGTACTGGTAAATTTAGGCTGTGGTCTTTTAGAATTTTTGTTTTTATTAAAATTTTATATTTGTAGTGGTCAAACTACAGATTGGATTAAATTATTATAGAATGCTTTCCATATAGCCTGAACATGATGAAGGATGTAGCGTTAATAGGTTTTTAAGAAGTTCCCAGTATTAAGTGCAGTAGTGAAATCAATGGACTTTGCTAAGAACACTGAGCACTTCTGAAAATCCAGTCCTAAAATGTTACTGTTTTTTCTGTCTGATGAATTTACAAAAGCTTTCTTGTTTAGCTCTGTGAAGCTTATATGTAGCTTTTATAATAAAATTAATGGCATCCCTGTTTCCACTAATTATACAGCACAATGCGAGACGGAGATTGAGAAGTGAGAGCTCGTATGATATAGACAACATTGTTATTCCTATGTCACTGGTCGCACCTTCTAAATTGGAGAAGCTGCAGTACAAAGAAATCCTTACTCCAAGGTATTTTTATACCTTTACTTGTGCTTGCACAACCAAGATTAAATTCAAATATAGTCAGTTTCAAAATAATGAGATAAAAATATATTGGGGTACTATAGGCCTGAGGTTCCCTGCTCATAATTAGAATTTGCTGTCATTTTGGTAAACTAGTTCAGCAGAAAATAATACCCTCAACAAACTGCAGGAAAATAGACATAGATATTCCCCGCAAAAATCCTTGCAGTGTTTATATTAAAAAAACCAAACAAACCCCAACAATTCTGATCTTGAGGACTTAAAGTACATTTTTAATATAATGTATTCTGGTATGTGATTCAGTGATCACCTCACTTTAATCATTATTTTGTTTGTAATTTCCCTGTAATTGAGTGAATCCTCAAAAATAGCAATACTCAAGTTCTTTCTTCTGTAAACCTGTGACTTGTATTTCAGGATTTGTTTTGCTTTTAAGGACTTAAGATAATGCTAAAGGAACACTGTTAAGGATGTTGTTTTGAAATACCAAAAAGAAGTTATGTAACCTTTGTCAATGCTTTTACATGATTTTTGTTAATTTAACTGATTTTAGATGTGTTTACACCAGAGGCGGACAATTATTTTGGGTGGAGGGCCACTTAATGAGTTTTGGCAAGCCATCGAGGGCTGGATGACAGGCAGCCAGGGGCAGATTAATATTAATTTTCTAAAATTTTTAGGGGTCCTGTGGGCCAGATAGAATGGTCTGGTGTGCTGGATCTGGCCCACGGGCTGCATTTTGCCCACCCCTGGTTTACACATTTCCTGGCAATGAAGCTGATTGAAACAGATCAGTCTCAGTTCACTGCTGAAGTAAAAAAAATGCTAAATTTGGATGAATGTATTTTAATTAAGACTTGTCTCATTCATAGTTGGAGAGTTGTTGACCTTCAACCTTTGGAACAGCCTCCCATATGTAAAGAAGAGGTAGGCTACATTTATATAAGCCAAGAGTTTATGCTACATGGAATATCTTTCTATATTTTAAGTATTCACTGATTTCATGAAAATTCTAGTAAGTAGAAAACTTTAAAAATAAGTTAAGTATACTATAAAAAACTTTCTAAACCTCTGCAATAAAGTGTGTGTATGTGTGCATATGTACAATTTGTGTGGGTATGTACAAATAAATATTAAGTTTAATGGTATATTATGTTTCTATTTTCTTGTTCTATTTGACAGCACCTAATGGTGATAGCAGTATGAATATCTCCAAAAGGAAACAAGGAAATGAAAGAACTCAGGAGACAATCCTAGCATTTAAGCATCACTTCGCCCACTTTTTCCTGAGTTCTTTTGCCTCTTACATCGTAGAAACATGATGCATATGCATCTTATCTCCTGATATATTCTTTCTTTCATTATTTTCCTTTTTAGTTTCAAATGAACGGGGAAAAAGAAGTAGAACTAGAGGAGAAAGTAAAGGATTAAAGTAAAGGAGGGATGTGGCATCTAAGGTTCCTTACCTTAAAATGTGTGCCTTTTGAATAAAAACTCTAGCACAAAACAACCAAGTCAGGGATCCAGCCTTTTTGTTGGCCACCTTCTCGATCCCCATACACAATTTCAAAAAATTCTGACAATGGTAAAGTCTCTAGAGGCAAATGGATAATCACTGGATACCCAGATTTGCTCATAGCTTCTCTTCCTGTACAAGTACCATTAGACAGCCATTTTTCTTGGCATGTAATAGATAAGTAGGACATGTTTATCTGTTTCATTTCCTCTTTGTTTTTTGTGGGCCACCAGACATTCTTATCCCCTTGTTAGTGTTTGTCTGTTTATCTCCCTTTATTGGGAGGGGATCTGTTTCTCCTTTCTGCTTCCTATCTAGAACAGTGAAGCCTGCAGCACTCCTCTTTGTATATTGTAATTCCTCTTCATCACCCACTGCTGTTCCTCCATCAGTACCATGGGTCAGTTTGCTTCCTTCCTGTATGACCCTTGACGCTCTGGTTTGAAGAACATTTTCTTCTCCAGGTCGAGTGTGTACAGACCATCAGATCTGTTCTGTAATCTGTGGTTCTTTTTCTTCCCCAACATCTTGCAGTTTTGCGGTTCCAGTGGCCAGACCAGAAAAGGCCTCAGTATGTCATCACTGCTGTTCTTTGTACTTCCATTTGGCACTACATGCAGTGTATTCTGGGCTCTAGAGAATGTCTCTATTCTACTGTCCCCTTCCCTTCACTTCGTTCATGAGATTCTTAGTGTTCCCACAGATACTCCCTAACCCGCTTTCTTTCTGTTTAATGCTGTCTTTGTTGTGGCGGCAATTCTGTAGCTAGTGAAAGAATTACTGCTGAAGCTGAGCAGTAAGAATGATGAATTAAGTATGTAGCAGACATTTCCTCTTTGGGGAACCGCTGGATAAGGCAGCTAAGGAGCACTGCTTGCTCAAGAAATTGCTTCCTTAGCACTTATTTCTTTCTTCTGTTAGTCCTGATGTCTTGTTAAAACTGGTTTCTAGCAACCACTACTTCCTTCTTTCCAGGGTTTTAAGGGACTTGATTTTCACACAGGGTGTTCATTTGCAGAATTCCAAAGATGTCTTTGGTTACTGGGACAGCTCTGGATCTCAGACAAATGCAACTCCTGTTATAGTCTGTTGTGTATTACATTTATTTTGCAGAAAGGACTGATATATCTGTCTTTAAAATATGTATGGAATAACTAATTGAACCAGTGTGATTCATATGACACTTAGGCCAGAAGGTGCTTCAAGCAGTACAATAAAATAGCTACAGGTTATGTTGGAGTTTGCTGTTTGCTATATTTTCTGTCAGATGCTGGATAGGATGGGAAGGAAGAGACATCAAACAAAAGAAAATAACCAGTTATTCTGTTTGTCCTGAATGTCTTCTTTCATCTTTCCTGCTCCTATGGAGAGAGTCTGTCATTTTGTGATTGTTTTACTGCTTAGGGAGATCTTTGGTTAAAGAAGAAATAAGCTTTCTGGTGTTCACCATTTTGGTCTTATTTCTTGCTCCTGTTCTTCCACATATTTACTTCAGGATGCAAACTGCTGGCTAGCCGTTGCTGTATTGGGGTAGTTTGAAAGGAGAGAGGTGAAAAAATAGAATTACTTGTCATAATTTTTTTTCTGTTTTCTACTGCATCAATTTTGTTTAGTTTAACTTGTCTGACTAACTGTCAAACTCAGGGTTGTTCCTTGTGCTGAAACCAAACAAGGTTCAGTTCAGAAGTATATATTTTAATGAAAGATATGAGCAGGGAAAAATATACTTGTGCAAGGTATCTTTTAGCTTTTCTGTTGCATGGTTTCCTGCTGCACCATGCAGATGTGCAGCACCTAGGTTTTTTGCATAGCCACTGAGTGGTACACTTTAACATGTATAGAGTTGCACAAAACACAGTTGCATCATTCCATGACTGTATACACACATTTAAATAATCTGAGAAAATTCTTCCGGGTTTGTTCTTCTGGTAGAAAAATTTACCCAGAGCCACATGTACTGACATTCAAATGCTGAGGGCTTGAAGAGTAAAGAGTTTTCAGTGCAGAGACTGTGCAGCTGTGGAGGAGGGCGGGGTTGTGCACAAATCCCAGTATGTTCTGCTGGCTCCTTTAGTCTTCTTAAGACAAATGGTAGTAGTGCATAGGGAAGCTCTGACTGGTTGACCAAGACTCCCCATGGTCAGCCTGTGTTTCCTACAGCACAATGTGGGGATTGTAAAAGGAGCATGTTCTGCTCCCTGTTGGACAAGCAGAGTCCAAGAAGCAACACACTGTCTCCCAGAGGGGCAAGGGATGCTGGAGGACTAATATTACTACAGCTAGGGATTTTCTTCTTTTTGTTTTATCTCAGTTCCTTTAAAAGCTATGAGAACACAAATACAAAAGCCTTTATTTACACAATAAAACTATACAGACCAGGATTTTCAAAAGCGAAGAGTCATTTTTTTGAGTGCCCAACTGAGGATACTTTTTTTTTTTTATAGAAGCTTTGCTATTCAGTGGTGGGAACTCAGCACTTTCTCCAAATCAGTTCCCTTTAGGGTGTCACCAACTGGATGTAAAAATATTAAGCACCCAAAATTGCTGGTCGTTTCTTAAAAGAGTAAAGACAGAAATGTCAAGAAATGCTCGAGTCAAGATTCTGGTATCTACTACACTGTACATTCTAAAAGCATTGGTATAGCTTTTGAATTTTCTGACTTTTCTATGTTCATATTGCAGTCTGTCTTGAATTAGTTGTAAAGTAATATTAGTTTATTAAAGCATTGTTTGTTTCAGTAACGACCAACTCTTGTGTATTGTTATAAGCTAATGAACAGTTTATGAGCAGCTGTTCTCAAGGTTTAAAATTTAGTGGGCATTGTCTACACGTGCACTTTAATGTGCAGTAGACTATTTTACTGCGCATTAAGGCATCACATAATAAAAAACCATGACATTACACTAATGTGCACTAAAATAGTCTACTGTGCATTAAGCATCACTGAAAAAGTGTGCAAATGTGCTACTGGACACGTCTACACATTATGTTGCCATAGCAACACACAAGGTGATGTAGCGTCCGTGGGCAAAAAACGTGACTCTGCAGCTATGTCGCTGTAACAACGCACTTCCTTGGTATAGCGTGCTGCTGTGGCAACATAGGGGCTAAAAATAACCATGCGATATCGGCATGGTGCAGTACAGGCTGTTACTGTGCCATCATTTAGTGCTTCCAAAAGGAAATACTGAATGATGGCACAGTAACAATGGCGCCATAGGGGCAAGTGTAGATGTGCCCACTGTGCAATAGTACAGCCTAATGCACATTAATTTAGTACCTCACACTGGAGGAACTAAATTTAATATGTGTTAGAAACGCATCGATACATGTGTAGATGTGTCCACTATTTCCCATTAAGTTGAAATTTGAAATGCAAAATACTTAAGCTGCTTTCCCATGATTTATTTTTTTTTTGGTCATGTTAATGCTGGAATGTACAGTATAAATAATTCAATATTCTGCTACGTGTATGATGAGAAACTTGCCAAAGTAGGAGTATTTTTATTCAGTATGACTGCACGTTGCTGCACTATATCAACTCTGAAAACTAAGGTAATGAAGTTATGTCTGTCTGGCCTCCTGGGCTAATCATTAGCTAGTGATTCATATTTCCACACTGTTTCTGGTCAGGCGGGATGGATGCCTGGTAAGACGCTGGGAGAATCTAGATCTTTATTTTGATTAAAATGTTTGCCTCAGGTCAGATCATCAGATATGTCTTGTGGACATATCCCCTCAACATCACCACCAGATTCATATTCTATCACCTGATAATGATTTTTTTTCTTGGCTTGTAGTCAAGCTAACCAAAAAGCATTTATGTTCACATTTTTCAACTTCATATAATATTAAGTATATATTAGTCTAAGCTTGGCAGAGACATATATACAACCAATTACAGAGCTTTACAAAGAAACACAGCCAGATTCTGCCCCTGACTGCAGTGGAGATCGGTTTGGCATACAATATGACGTTTCATCCCATATAACAAGCCACAGTTTGGATTAAGAACATATATTCAATGTATGCCTTTTGTGGATTATTATAAAACCATCTTTTTAAATATTGTACAATTTTAAGAAGATTTTTTTAAAAGCTCTTTTCCCTTGAAGAGAAACATTGATTTTTTTTTTTAAAGGAAGCTTGTTGAAACCTAAGTTAGCTTTTTCACATCATGAAAAGACTAAGCAACTTGCTATGAAAAGTATTTTCAAAGTCTATGTAAGTTTTTCTTTCAAAGTTGCTTTTTGTTTCAACTTCAAAGGAAATGTTATAGCAAAGGGAAATTTGAAGTTCTGTCTGAGGGAGTAGCGCTTTGGCAGTGTGTAAAACACTCACCTTCACGCTGCATTATTGACCTTGATGAAGAAATCTGTAGCAAAGTACAGAAATGTACAAATGTCTTGAAAATCACTGGTAAATACTAACAAGAGGAGACCTGATTAAGGAGACTCATAAAATAGGGAAAACAACTGACAAATTAATTTATACATTTAACATACATAAATACGAAGTAATGACTATTCTTGCAAATAAATCACAAGACAATACAGTTCATTTGTATCAAAGACTGAGAGAAACTGGATTAAGAAAGGAAGGGATTCTGGCCAACTAGCTTTAAGAAGTAGGTGTGCTATGGTCTAGTTCCCAAGCCCAGTGAAACTAACGAGAGTCTCCATTATATTGTTGAATTTAAGATCAAATTCTCAGTCTCTAGCAACAGATTACATTAGAGCTATGTTCTCTGGTCAGTCATGGAATAGCAGTTTCAAAAATATTTGCACAGTTAGAGACAGTTTTGTTCATTCTGTAAAACCAGGTACATAGCACAGTTTCTGGAGAAGCCATATGTCGACAGGCAGTCCTTGGACTTGCAACACAATTGGTTCCTGCATCATAAGTCGAAACGTCGTAACTTGGAACCGATTTTCCCATAGGAACAGTTTTATAAATGGGGGTTTGGTTCCTGAACCAAGGCCTGATACCCTGTTTTCACCAAAAATAACCTAGAATTTTGTACTCAATCAATTATAGATGAGTAATATAGCTAAATTAATGTATTTAATATTCCCAAAAGGAGTACTAAATGACGGTGCACTAACAGCTGTGCTGTAGGGGCACATGTAGACACACCCCTTGTTGTTAATTTTACTCCTTTGAACTTCGCCACAAACTGGGAAGGGAAAGTAGCTCTTCAAAGATCTGCCATTATGAGCCTCAGTTTCATGGCTGCTGTCTCCCTTCATTTTCAAGGCTTCTAATAGTGGCCCCAAAACTCGTAAGAGCCTTGAAAATGATAGGAAGGAGCTAGTCAGTTTTGGGGCTACTCATTGCAGCATTGATAATATTGTGTACTTTCGAGCTTACTTTAAATTTAGACAAGTATCTGCTGAGGTAAGGTTTTTCTTCTAGTCTTGAGATTATGCACTTAAATTTACACTGGATTCAGAGATTTCAGAGATTTCTAGGGTCGCAAGGGACCTGGTAGATCATCAGGTCCAACCCCCTGCTCCAGGCAGGAAAGAGCGCTGGGGTTAAGTAACCCCAGCCAGATGCCTGTCTAATCTCTTCTTGAACACCTCCAAGGTAGGAGAAAGCACCACCTCCCTTGGAAGCCCATTCCATATTTTAGCAACCCCCACCATAAAGAATTTCTTCCTTATGTCCAATCTAAATCTATTCTCCTTCAGTTTGTGGCCATTATTTCTGGTAACCCCGAGGGGCACCGTGGTAAACAGAGTGTTCCCTATTCCCTGCTGACCCCCCCCCCCGATGAGTTTGTATACATTCAGTTTGGATATTACATTCAGCTAATAAATTACATTCTTTTACAGCTCCTTGACATTTTTGGAGTTGAACCTCTCTCCTGTTAGAGTTCCTTTGGCACTGCAGCCTTAAAATTAATATAACCAGCTAGGTGGGAATTGCTTCTTAATAGCCCTTCTTCTAGTCTCCTTTCCCTTTGAAGCGGGGATGGCTGGCATGCACAGATGTGGCTTTAGCATTCTTTGAGTGATCTCTAGCTGCTGGAACAAACTTTTGAGCCATCTGCAGGCACAGTAGATTGGAGCACTACTGTCCTAAACTATGCCAGAGTGAACCAATAAAGAAATAGGTCCTAGGGTTTAGGGGAAGACGACAAGTAACTCCTTTGTGTGCACGCTCCCGTTGGCAGCTGTGCCAAAGCAACAAACATACTTTGCTATGCTCTGCAAAAGAAGGAGGGAAAGTCACATGTTCTTGGTGCAGGGCAGATTTGGTGTTTGGATTCAGAGGCTTCACCAGCAGATTAGATCTTGTTCTCATTTGAGCAATTATTACCTTCCTCAGATTAGATCCTGAGTGAGTCCTGCATACGGCTAAGAAATTGTATACTGTGAAGCGGAAACTATTTTCTGCCTGGTTTTGTAGAAGGAATGTGGTGCCTCAGGTTTGCCCAGTCCATTTTATTTTAGATGTTTTTGTTCTCCTTTCGTTGTCATGCTTATATTACCATGTGCTTAAAATGTACCCAGCAAGTACTGCTGCTTCCTGTTCTCCTGCAGAAAGGACTTATCTCTTTCATGCACCTTTCTGTGGAACATTAACTTAGAGTTCATTGTATTCATTCATACCAACCTTAGTTCATGAATTTTGAATCTTATACTTGCAAAGCTATCATATATATCCTTCTTGATGCAATTCTAGTTGTCTGTTCGGCCATTCACTTTCCTAGTAGAAACTACAGTAGCCACAGGCCTGAGCGAAATCTAGGCCCGCATGGCAGTTGAGCTTACTCTGGTTCCAGTCTTATAATTACTTACTGTGTTGGGTGAGACATCCAAACAGCAGACAGTGTTTCTTGCAAAACTGTCATAGGTATCCATGTGAGTCCATATGCCAGCACCCAAAGAATTCAGGGCTTTTTGATGTGCTGCCAGCTGTTCTGATTGTTTCTGCCATGTTTCTATAACTGAGATTTGTAAGGAGAGCAAATGAAAACAGTCTTTCATTCTCTCTCCGGGTAAACATTTCCCTGCCTTTCCATTTGGACATTGCTTGCTGTTCTGTGGAATGTGGCTCTGTAGAGGCATTTCTTTGACAAATGAAAGTTGCTTCTTAGTAACTAGAGTGCTCTCTTGACGTTGTCCCTGCTGATCTACACCCTGCCCTGAGTTTTGGATTTTATTTCAGTGAAGAGAGAGAAGCTAGGGGCACAGGCTTTTGTGACTTTACTTGAAGCTCTTAGGTGCCATGCGTAATGTTCAACTGTCAACTTTATAAAATACCTCCATTAATACAGAACACATCTGCAATGTGGATCTGTAGCGACTGCAACTGAGTAATCTTCTTCCTTTTCTTTTCCATGGTACCATTCTATGGATTCACATTCATCACTCTTTCAAATATTCTTTTGTTTTGGCTCAAACTGTCAGTTTTCATTACTCAACAAAAATGTTTCGATAAAGTGCAGCTTGTTCCTTCAGTATCATCTTCTGAAAGAGCCTTTAATATGCACCCATAGACACAGTACTACTGTTCACTTGATATTCAAACTAGTAACCTCTTATTTTTAAATTTAGAGTAGTCCTCTTATACAACTGAGATCCTCACAAAAGTGTACAAAATAGCGATTTTAAAAGTGGAAGCATCATACTAGTTCTTTTTATTGTATTTTAACCAGAATGTATAAGTTTTACTTTGTATACCTCAGCATATGTTCAGTACTTCTTTCTTGTGATTTTTGAAACAGATTTTCACAGAACTGTATAAAAACCATTGTATTCAGTTTCAGTGATGTTCATAATCATGATAGCAGCCATTCTGTACTTAAAATTGCAGATGGAAGACCTCTCAGATGAAGCTTTTACTTCACGTCACGCACAATATGAAGAGAGAGAGAAAACAAGATGGTCATTGTGGGAGCAGAGCCGCTGGCCTAGACGGAATAGCAGGCAGGTGTATCCACTTAAATGGAGTATTCTTACAGAATCACTACAATTGTTGTTAGTGCAAGTTTCAGAAATGCCATCAACATGATGCAACTTTGAAAATGAGGGCATCCACCCATCAAGTGATTTGTTACGGACAGCACTATCCATATTTAATATATAGAAATGGAAACCTCTAGAGTTCTGAAACTTAAAGAACTGGATCATTTGGGCATACAGTGAATAAAATATTGGTTTATTGAATTTATCATGTGCCACTATTCCCTGCCACTCTCAGTAATCATGGATGTAGAGAGTGAGACGTGACCTCACATTTAATCAGCTGACTTAGCTGAAAAAGTCAGATGTAATAATGGAAAGGAGTATCACATTCATGGCATTCAGAGGCATGCTTCAAATACCAAATTCTGCTAAGTGGCTTGAGCACTCTGAATTTTCAACAGTCACGTGTGTGAAGGAAGTTTAATACTTTGTCTAGTGCAAAAGCCTATAATAATTAAACAATCTTACAAAAACGAAATATATGCTCTTAGGAAAAAATGTGTGTAAATACAAACATGCAGCTGTAGTTTTATTTCAGCTTTGCATTAAATTATTCCTAATTAGTCCCTTTGGAATCTTTCACAATGTAAAGCACTCTATAAATGTAAAGGGAATGCTATTACTGTATATTTGTAGGCAGTATTATTTAATGATCAGAAAAAAACTGTCTCACAGTATTGAATAAATACACAAGGTTTTTTTTGTATAAAATTTGTATGATTGATTTACCATGTGGGGTCTGGATTTCTTCCCAACATATAGCATGTACTAAAAGATTTTACACCAAGTTAAAGTTTGCTTTAGAGTTTAGTTTAAAGTTTCTGTTTAAGTGTTTTTATTCGCACACTGCATATTCCCACACGTAGGATCAAGGTATCTGCACTGCAAACCATCAGGAATCCAAACCCCACTGTTGGTACATGCAGAGAGGGGTTATGGAAATTATCTCAAAGGATCCTAGTTACAAATGAGTAACTTCCACTCTTCCTTTGAATGCCTTCTGCTCTTTTCCATTTTTGGGATGTGCTGTCAGCTCAGTTTCGACTCCATGGTTCACAGATGGCAATATGCAGTGGTTCATGTTGAAAAACTTGAATTAGGAGTGCATTACCTTCTGTCACAATCCAAAATTACATGTATACTGAGTGAACAGCATGTTTTATAAGCCACAGCCTCTAATGACTGTTGCTTGGATGACCTGCATCATGAGCATGAGGGCCCATCACCTTCCAAGCATTTAACTCTCGTAGATAAAGCTATTTGCTTTGACTTTGTGCAGTTTAGCAGGCGGGCTCTGTGTGTTTTCAGGCTCTCTTTACTTTAAAGCACTTAAAAATCTGTTAAAAGATTCCCCACCAAAAAAAATGTGAATTATTTCCTGTCGTTTGAAAGAGCACTAGGTCATAGCACTCTTATTTTCTCATTTTGCTTTCTACTAGATCTTACAGCAAAAATGCTGATGGACGTCATGGACAAGATCCAATACAGAAAGAAAACCATGGCAACTCCTGTGCTTCTCTGCACTATTTTGCTGAAGCTACCCCTGAGCTTATATCAGAAACTCGCAGTTCTGTGTGCTTAGCGCTCCCACAAACTTCAACAGAAAACCAAGAAGCAAAGGTAGGGTGGTTTTTAACAACTGTTTGATCCATTGCCCCCAAATTTCCAATAACTTGGATTGTGCCTAAACTTAAATTGTATTGACCTGTATCTCTTTTGTAGCCTGCATTTAGTTAGTATTTCTTCAATGTACCAGGTGGTTACTGTTTGCAAATGAAGTCCACAGAACAGGAACACGCTAATGGGCCAGTATGGCTCTAGAGGTGACACACTAGCAGGCTCCCTTTGTGCAACTTTTTCTCAGGGAATGCCAACAAGGTTTCCTGATAATACTGATTGTCATGGCAACACGTGTTCTTAATTGTTTAGCATTATGGAAAACAGAATTCCTCTCTACATTCCTCACCCTCTACTTAGTGTTGATTAACTCTGGGAAACATTTTGGGATAAAACTTGTTAAAAGATTCTATACAACACAACTTCATTTTGTATTAAGCCAGGCTACATTTGAAAGCTGGTACCCAGCACAGTGGTATTCTTCCCCATATCTGGTGAACCCTGCAAGCAGGGTAAAGAATGTCACTCATTTGTTACTTGATAACAGAATCATTCTGCACATAGCTAATCAGCTAGGACTCCACTGAAACTCATCTCTTCTTTTTCTTTTTTTCCATTCTTTGATTCCTTTCAGTCTGAGCTGTGGGAACTTCGGGTTTTTCCATTAAAGGATGAAGAAATAGAAACCTTACTATGCCAAGATCAAATAACAAATCAGACCGAAAGTTCAAGTGCAGCTTTCCACAACAATTCTTTCTGTACTTCGTGTACTCCCTTCGGTTTGTCAAACAATGGCCATCCACTGCAAAAACAATCTTCAGAAGAGCTGGAAGACTGTGCTAATGTTTGCCTGGGAATCAACAGTATGAGAAAACACAGGTGACAGGGAGTAATGTGGTTCACTAAGAAAGCCAGTTAAGGTGGAGAAAAGTGTAAGGTAAACTTTCTTGTTCACACCACAAATAACAGCACAATTCAAATCCTGTATGTCAGAAGCATATAATATATTTTCTTTCTTGCTTTGTAACAGGCAGGAATAATCCCAAAGGCAACACTTTCTTCTTCCTGAACCACAAGAGAAACTAATTATTTCAACTTGGAAGTCTAATATTCCCAGTGTCGGGACTGGGTACATCTAAATTGCTGACACCATTCACTGCTTTCTTTTGTTATAGTACCACATTCTTTAATATCCATCCACTTTTTATCCAAATTTTCTTTGGTCTTGAAGGATTAAGGGAACAATTTCAACTGAACACAGAAAAACTACTTGAAAAGACAGCAAGGCGGAAGGGGAACTTAAATATTTTTTCAGCTGTGGGAAATACCTGCCCTATTTGAAAGGGTCATCTGTAATACTTGGATATTTGGGAACCTAAACCCTTATATTTAACTTTAAATGTATTACTTTCGCAGTTCCAGTCAAAGTTGTGGCAAGTTTCATGCAGAAATTCTCAAAGGCTAATACAAAAATACATGAGAATATTTCAGTACTTCATTTATCTTTCAAAATGTAGGCAGCTTTCATTTCAGTCCCTTGGAGGAACCTAGTAGAGGGTGACGAAAGAGAAGTGAAATATCACTGGTGCATCTTTTAAATGTTATTCTGGATCACCAGGTGCTTGGAGACCTAACTCCTACAACAGCCAGTGTATTCTATAGAACTGTATTAAAGAGAAATACACTTGTTCCAGTTTCCATGCAGTGCCTTACAAGGGTCTGGCATGTGTGCAAAAGCAGGTTTACTAATCAGAAAAGAAATGATTATTAATAAAGTTAACTATCAGGAAAACAATAACCCCCCTCCACTCCCTCCCTCCAGCTTTTCGTGGTGATATATACTGGTTTTTAAATGCCTGGTCAATTCACTTTTAAAACAAAAGCAAGCTGTTTTAACAGATATTCTAGATTACAGTGTTTAAACTCCACTGTCAATTGATGCTAACACAAGATGAACCACAGAAGAATTGATTACACAGTGGTATTTTTGTAGCAGAATAAATAAATACCAATTGATACCAGCAGAACGTAGGGCTAAACGCTGTCAATAAGAAGTTTTTCTGTGTAGAACAGTTGAAGGCAATTATCTAGGTGTCTCTGTCCTTGTGCAAATTGTCCTTAGTGTGTCATATCCAGAACTAAATTGGCACTGGACAGATGACCCAGTTTCAGTGTCAACGTGTTGGTCAAAATAACAGGAAATATACACTGGATATTAGGAAGAAAAGATTCAGAATATTTAAGCACTACAACTTATGGCAGATTGTAGCTTATTGCACATTCCGATTTCACACACACACACACACACACACACACACACACACACACACACACACAC